GGTGAAAGGAAAAATGTATGAGAATTTCAAATGAATATTATGAAAGGAAAAATATTACCTTTATAAGTATATAATGATAATGATGATAATGATATAGATATAGATATAGATTAGGAATGAGAGTTACTTTAAAACACAAATAAGCCAAATAAATATATTCCATGCATCTTAATGGTTTGTATATTACTTTTGTTATGAAGCATTTATGTAAGAAATAATTTAAATGATTTATGAATTTAATGGTTTGTACATTCATATTTTTGGGATTTCATTTTTTTTTAAGTTTATAGTTTAATGAAATGTTTATTTTTAGTATTGAGTGGTCTGACAAATTTATATTTAAGTAGTGAATTAACATATTAGATAGAATATACATTAATAGAACATATTAGATAGAATATACATTAATAGAAATTGTTATTAACTTTTCAATGAAGACAAATGAAAGATTTTGAAAATATTAATAAAAAACACAAATACCTTTTAAATACTACACAATTTAATTTATCAATTTCATATTAATATGTATAGAAGATGGCTTTTTAATACTTTTAATATGACATTGATTATATGGAATTTAACTATGAAAGAATATATAGCCTTTTAAATAATATATCTTTAATTTAATGAGAGAAATAAAGGTAATTCTATTACTATTGCCGTCAAGCCCTTTGACAACTATCAAACTACACTTTTATTTTTCTACTTTATATATATATATATATATATATATATATATATATATATATATATATATATATATATATATATATATATATATATATATATATATATATACCATTTTTCATTGAGATTTTAACTATTTCAAAATTTAAAATTTTGAACTATTAGTTGTATATCTTTTGAGTTTGATTCTTTTAAGAATATATCATTATATTATAATATAAACTTTTTATTCTAAAAGTTTTGTTATGTTTTTAATTTTTGTGATAAAAAACATAATTTTAATTTGATCGTTTTTTCTTTTGTTAGGTTGTGAATTTAGTATTTTAACCTCTTATTTATTATTTATTTTTTTAATATTAATTTTAACTGCTATTACGTTGTGAATCCAAGTTTGTTTTATTATTTCTTATAATATTTGTGTAAAATATTATTCAACTCCTATTTTATAACATATCATTATATTATAATATAAGTCTTTTATTCTAAAAGTTTTGCTATGTTTTTAATCCTTGTGATAAAAAAACATATTTTTATTTTAACTGTTTTTTCCTTTGTTAAGTTGTGAATTTAGTATTTTAATCTCTCATTTATTGTTTGTTTTTTTATCTTAGTTTTAACTGCTATTAAATTGTGAATCCAAGTTTGTTTTATTAATTGCTATAATATTTGCATAAAATGTTCTTCAAAGTTTATCTTTTATAGTTGTTATGTTGTGAATTGAATAAAAAATAGGTGTTATTATGTTAGTTTTTTCTCAAAAAAATATGAATTTAATTTTTTAAGTTGTAATTTGTGATGTTTTAATATTTCAATTATTGTTTAGTTCTGTTAAAATAAGTTTTAATAATAAATGAGTGAATTAATATAGTTTTAAATTGTGAATACTATGAAAGAGAGTCTTAAACTATTTTTTAAAACTTTGAATGAGAGTCCTAAAATGTTCTATTAAACTATGAATTTGTTTGGTGCACACAAGATATTTAATGAAATGCTTCAACAAAATTAATTATGTTTTAAAGTTGTAAATATCGTTAATGACATACCTAAACTACTTTATTAAATTGTGAATCAAAGTCTTGAAATGTAAGTTTTAACTTGAGAATGAGATTGTTAAGTATAATTTTTTTCGTATTAAAATTTGAAATTATTATATTAAGTTATGATTTTTCGTTATACAACCATGATTTGGTTATTAACTGTATTAAACTGTGAATTGACTGTATTAAGTTGTGAATTGATTGTATTAAGCTATGAATTTTTTATAATTCCTTATGGCCTTCTAAAATATGAGATAAAATTACCATTATATATAGATCTCACTTAATCTAATCTTGAATAAAACATTTAAAATTTAAGTTGCCAAAATTTTTGTAAATAAACTTTGAAAGAAGCACTAGCATATATATATATATATATATATATATATATATATATATATATATATATATATATATATATAAGTTTTAAGTTAAGAACATGATTGTGAATATATAATTTTTGTGCATTAAATTGTTAATTTTTTATACTAAGCTGTAAATTTTATTTATTGAACTATGAATTGATTTTATTAAGCTGTGAATTTTTAAGGAATTATGTGTTAAAATATGGCTGATTTATGTATGAATGTTTGTTTTAATTTGTTTGTGAATATAATTATTTTTTGTGTTGTATAAATATGAAAGACTATATTAGTTTTTATAATTATTTTGCATTAAATTCAAGATGAGTGAATTAGTAGGTTTTATTAGACCGTGACTGTAGTATTTAAGTTGTTAATGCATGACTTTATTTACAGATCTGATTTGAAAGAAATGATGGTTGTGATGTTACTGGTGTTTTGTGGCATCGTGTGGTGGTAGTGGTGATAGAATTTGTGTTTTTGACTTCTTTGAATTAGTAATTTATTATAAAATAATTTGTATTAAGTTGTAAAGTTTTTGCACTAAACTATAAATATATTGTATAAAGTTGTATTTTATATCAGTTTTGTGTTAAAATATAAGAGTATATGTGCATGAAAATATTAGACTGTAAAAATTACATTTTTTCCCTTGTCGTACCAAAAGGACAAAAAATAAGGAATTTTAACATGTTTTATAAGAGTATCATGTAAATATTTACTAATTAATGGTTCTTAAATATATTTTAAGATGCTCGACAAGGATAATAAATACATTTTAAGCTATGAGAGTGTTAGATATCGACTATGATATCATTGTTATATATATATATATATATATATATATATATATATATATATATATATATATATATATATATATATATATATATATATATATATATATATATATATATATATGTTTTCATTGGTTTGCATTCCAAAAGATTTTTATAGAGATTGAAAACTAGAAAGTATATAACGTATAAAACCGTGTTATATGGATGTACCATGCAATAATACTTCTCCGAAAGATAAGGCTTGATAAGGATAAATAAGTTATTGCTAACAATATATTGTTTTAGAGTTTGCATTTTTATTTTTTGTGTTTTGTTACTTACTTTCATATGTTTTGATTGGTTTGCATTCCAAAAGATTTTTATAGAGATTGAAAACTACAAAGTATATAACGTATAAAACCGTGTTATATGGATGTACCATGCAATAATACTTCTCCGAAAGATAAGGCTTGATAAAGATAAATAAGTTATTGCTAACAATATATTGTTTTAGAGTTTGATTTTTATTTTTTGTGTTTTGTTACTTACTTTCATATGTTTTGAGGTTTTATCATTATATATATTAGGGGACTTTTGTTATGATGGAATACAATCAATAACATATAATGAAATGACCAAAATAATATAACAATTCATTACTTTTTATTGTCGTATTTGATTAGCTCGAAAAAAAAAAAAAAGAATTATACAACCATTTTGTTTGTTACTTATAAATGAAATAAACTAAATAACTTTAAAATGACAAATAAAGAAAATGTATATTAATTTATAAAATTAAACTTCTATCAAATTAATATATAACATTAAAGATGTTGCATGAAAGAGTATTTTATATAATTTAAACTATAAGCCATTTGTATTTTAAGTAGTTAAAAAGAATTACTTGTCATATAAAAAATTGTTTACAAATTTAAAAATACCATAAAATCTTTTTATGTGATTATAGTAAAAAAAAAGTACTTTTATTTATTTATTGAAAAATAAAAAAATAATGTAACTAGAATTTCTTTTATAAAGATTAATAATTAGTGTATGAAAGTGATCTAAAGTTGTAATATATAACATTTCAATCAGCGAAAGATTGAAAAAAAAAACCTATCATATGGATTAAAAATAAACCTTTGAGAATACAATTGTAATACAACGGAGTTTTAAAGAGAATTTGACTTATTAAGGTAATTAAGTATTTCTTAGGCTCACATATGGGTAATATTGTTTTTTTTTATACTGATCTACCAAACTAATTTTTTTTCATCTATTAAAAAATAATCAACATTACCGGCTATTACCTGTTTTAGCCGATAACATTGATTTAGCTCGGTTAAAAACATTACTTGGAATCTTATGTGACAATTACACCCATTTCTTATTTAATTAGGGTTCGTCATCGTCAGCTTGTCCAAAACACACATCGATTACCTTCTTCTGTGAGAAATCAATCGATACAGCAAATCGACGACTAGGGCTTGGAATTGAAGTCGACTGTTAGTATGGCATCCTCATCTACAAGTATGAATGTATCTGTAGATTTTCATTACAATGGATTCTTTTCGCCAAACCAATTGGTGCACTTAGACCCCGTAAAAATAAATGTACGTGATGTGGATTTTTGGGGATTTACGTATAAAGAGTTTCTTTGTGGCTTACGAAATTAACCAATGGAGCCTATGATAATGTCTACTACTGTATGAGAAAGGAAATCTTGTGTGAGGGTATTAGAAGATTCGACAGTGATGCTGATTAGTGGGAGTTTGTGGAAACTGTTTATAGTCTAGAGAGTGATAGTCTTGAGAGTGAGTTAGATGTATACATTGACCACCGAAATGAACCAATTCTTGATTGGGTTGATAACGATTTCTTAGTAGATGGTAAAGGGTATGAGTCATATGAGTTGGATGTAGAGGATGACAAGGATTCCGAAGTTTCAGAGACAATGGAATATGAACATGAATGAGATGATGAAGAGGAACATACTTTTGATAAAAACTGTTGGAGACCCATTCTTGGATAAACTTTTAGGGCATATTAGTGATGATGATGAAGAATAAGAAAACAATGGAAAAGATAAGGATGTTGTGTTCCCTGTCCATAATGAGAATCAAGAATGGGAGCAAATGGTGCCAGTTTTGGGTATGAAGTTTTCTAACCCATTAGAACTGAAGTTGTGTATCACCAACTATGCAAACAAAAATGGATATGATTTATGGTATGAGAAAAGTGATCATGAAAGGTTATTGGTAAAATGTTGTAAAGGTAAGAAAAATAAACAGGGTAAAGGTTGTCCCTTTAGGTTGTGGGCAACCTGGATGACCAGTGAAAAATCATTCCAGATTAAATCTTTGAATGATATGCATAATTGTGCAAGAGTCTTCAAATTTGGGTCCATTGTTACCTATAAATGGATAACAAATCATTTCATGAATCATATACTTCATAAACCAAAGATGAGTATAAGGAAGTTGAAAGCTAAAGTCAGCAAGAAATTTAATTTGATAGCAAGTGTTAGGCAATGTAGAAATGCAAGGAAGTATGGATTTCAGGAGATATAAGGTTATTTGAAATAACATTATGCAAAAACATGGAGCTATGTAGAAGAGATAAAAAGGACTGACCCAGGATCAACAGTGAAGATGGATGTAGATGTCATGCTTGATGGAACCACTTATTTCTCAAAGTTTTATGTATGTTTCAAAGGATTGAAGGATGAATGGGTTGAAGGTTGTAGGAGGGTAATTGGACTAGATGGTTGCTTCCTAAAGGGCATATGCAGAGGTTAGTTACTTTCTGCTATAGGTAGAGATGCTGCAAATAGCCATATATATCCTATTGCTTGGGCTGTTGTATCAGTTGAAAGTAAAGAAACATGGAAGTGGTTTATTGACATTCTAATTTAGGACCTTGGAATGAGAGTTGGGCATGGACTAACCTTGATATCAGACTAACACAAAGTAATCAATTTCTATTTTTTCCATCTTTATTTTAGCTTATGTTTTGTTTCTGTTTAATTTTTGTGTCTATTGTTAACAGAGATTACTTGAGGTTGTGAAGGAAAATGTTCCAGCAGCAGAGCATAGGCAATGTGCTAGGCACATATGTGCTAACTTCATGAAAAGGTTTAAGGGCCAACGGTTTAGAAAACTTTTCTGGTATGTTGCTGCATCTACCACCCCTGCAAAATTTGAGCACCATATGAATGAAATCAAGAAATTAGAACCACTAGCTTATGACCATTTGATGGAAAAGGGCCCTAAAACTTGGAGTAAAGCATTTTTCAGACTGATAGGGCTTGTGTTGCATATGAAAATGGTATATCTGAGAGTTTCAACTCGGTGATTGAAGCTTCCAGGAAGAGACTACTAATCACCATGTTAGAAGAAATTCGAATTTATGTGATGGAGAGGCTTTATAGATAGAAGATTAAGGGGAAATCTTAGGATTTAACCATATGTCCTACTATTAGGCTGAAGTTGTCCAAGCTTAAGGATCTTCAAAGGTAAATGCTTAAAAATGTTTGTCCTTATATATGTTTGTCTTTTAACATGTTTGTCTTTATATATGTGTATGTGGACAGATTTTGGAAAGTTATACCATCTGGTTATCAACAATATGAAGTCAAAATTAGGTATGATGCATATGTTGCGGATATTGGTAGGAGGACATGTTCCTACAAAACTTGGCAGTTAACATGTTACCCTTGTGTGCATGGGTATGCTTGCATTGCAAGCCTCAATAAGAATGTAGAGGAGTATGTGTCACCATGGTTTACCACATCAATGTTCTTAAATTGTTATAGGTATACCATTAACCCACTCAATGGTAGTTACATGTGGCCTCATGTAGACTACATCAACCTACTGCCCCCCAAAAGGAGAAGGCTACCAGGAATACCATCAACAAAAAGGAAAAGGGATCAGATTGAGAGGGAAAACCATGGAAAAAAGCATACAATCATAAAAAGAGGTAGTGTGATGAAATGCAGTATATGTAGGGAAAATGGGCATAATAGAACAACCTGTCCTCAAAAAACCAATTGAGGAATCATCAAATGCAAGTTCAAAGAAAAAGAAACCCAAGAAAGCTAGTATGTTTGATATATTTATTTATATATATCTTGTATAACTTAACATATTTGGCATAACTTAACTTTTCAAGTAATGTAAAACAAGTAAAGTGAAGGTTGCATTGGCACATGAATTTGACATTGACAGTGACAGTGAACTTGAAATAGAACCTGAAAGTGAAGTGGACTCTTTTGATGTTGAATTTGAAGATGATGTGCAACCTGAAGTGCATCATGAAGTTCAAGATAGAGTACAACCTGAAGTTCAAGATCAAGTGCAAGCTGAAGTACAACATGAGGTTCAACCTCAAGTTCACCCTGAAGTTCAAGTTCAAGATGCTAACCAAGTTGAAGTTCACCCTGAAGTTCAACCTAAAGTGCAAGTTAAAGTTAAAGATGCTAACCAAATTGTAGTTCAAGATCAAGTGGAAATACCAGCTTTTCAAGTTGTAGTGGGACAGAGGGCAAGGAAACCTTCAAAAAGAATTACAAAACTTAAGATAAGAAAGACGTGGGAGGGAAAACAGGGAAGCAGTGATGACAATCCCTATGAGTTGGATTAACTTTTGGCTCATTGTACTTTTGGATTTTGGCATCTTTGACTGATATCTTTTAACTTTGGAATCTTTTGGCACATCGTTTGAAAACTAGTTGGAATAACTTAAATGCATGTTTAAGTGTGTAGTGTTTAAATTTTTGCACTTCTTTTGGGTGTAATGCATGTTTAAGGGTGTAATGAATGTTTAATTATGTTATTTAAAACTTTTGACACATCTTTTGAAATCAATGTTCCCTGGAATGCAAATAATGTATTACCATCTTTTGCACATCTTTCTAATACCATTTGTATTGTTTATAATTTATTACCATCATTTAGAATACCAAATATAATCACAATTCCATTACATTGTTTGAACAATTCCACTCCAATGATTCACAATAACATTACAATGTTTGTACACTACCATTCCAATGATTCAATTCCATTACAATGTTTAAAGTTTAATAACAATTCCATTACGATGTACAATTCCATTACAATGTACAATTCCATTCCAATGATCCAATTTAACCTTTTTCATTGAAAACATCACAAAATCATACATAATTTAGTCATACTACATCATAATAAACTACATAATTTAAAACAACATTTTGGCATACAAGAGAAACAAGAAAATTAATGCAAGTCTATGGGTAAACAATTTCCAATTGACTTTGTCCAGTTCTTGTTTATTTCTATTCTTCTCTTGTTCAATTTTCATCCTGAATATGTTGATTTCATTCTCCATGGTACAAATTTTCAAGGTAAGATTGCAGCTTTCTTCTAGTTTCATCCCGTAATGCCTTCTTCCATCTTTCCCCCCTTCATCCTCATCCAACCATTGCTAAAATTTACAGCTTGGACTTTTTCCATTCTTCAAGAAATTTATAAAAACATGTTAAATTGAAGGATGAAGAAGAAGTAAAAAATGATTTACCAGTGAGTTTTGACAAACTTTGAATTTCCTTCCAGGGTTGTCTGGGGTTCTTGATGTCTTCACATGAAATGGCAAGTTGCAATACATGGATGATCCGGTTGCAATTCATCTTGTTGTTTGGAAGAAAAGGATGAGGAAGAAGATACCATCGATCGATCTAGGGTTTTAATTAATCACCAATCGTGTCTCACCCTTCTTATAATGTAAACACCTCTCAATGCCACGTAGGTGATGAGTATTGCGACGTACAAGCCACGTAGATGCTACATCACCCAAAACCTACGATAGTCGGTAATGTTGGTTATTTGTGAACGGCTGAAACAAGTTAGTTAGGTAAATGAGTACAAAAAAAAAACAATATTACCCATATGTGAACATTTAAAACACTTAGTTACCTAAATAAGTCAAATTCCCGAGTTTTAAATCTTTAAGTTGTGGCTAGAGTTTATTAATCTTATATGTACGAAAGGCTTTCTTCGACACAACAAACTAATGCAAAATGTTAAAAGGCTATTTTTGGCCGAGCAAACTAATACAAATTGTTATTTCCTACAAAAGTAAGGAATTGGAATTTTGTTTTAAACTATTACACATTGGTCATTTCTTTAATTTTACTATTATACATGATTATATGTACCAATTTTTATAATTTTTACATTTGTTTTTATTACATATAGATCGTATGAATTATTTCTATAATTTTACTATTATACAGAGATCATTTCTATATGCAAATTATATATGCAAATTAAAAACACATGAACATTTCTCTAATATTTTTCATTGTTACCGACACAAGGACCATTTATGTACTTATATGGACCACTTTTGTAAATTTGATTTACATTATTATATAGTTAATATTAAGTTGAGATCATTTTGTAACTTTTATTTTCTTGAGTATTACAAAATAATGTTTTATGTAATCTGATAACTATATTCTTCAAATATATATATATATATATATATATATATATATATATATATATATATATATATATATATATATATAATATATATATATAATTTTGATCCATATGGTTTACACTTATCTATACTTTTAAGTCCAACTTTGCATTTTTGACATTTTACATATGTGGTCCCTAAGATTAACTTCGTCAATTGTCATTCGTTTAATTACCCATTACATAATAAAAATATGCTTATTTTTGTCCATTTCCAATTTTGTCTATTTATTATTATTCTTTTTTATTTTTAGAACTTAGAACGACCATTTTTGTTTATTTATGAAAATGCAGAGCCTTTACTCTTTTTCCTTCTTTATTCTAACTTACCTCTCCACCACTCTCACCTTCATCTTCTCCGGTTACCATGAATAGTCAGTAGTCTTGAACCAAATTCCAATATGGTATTGAGTTAAGGTTGTAAAGTTGACACAAAAATCCAACACATGATGAATTGGTCGAATGTTCCCCTCCTTGTGCCAAGCATATGAAAAAACTATAAAATCTTCGAATTTGGCAATAAGCATTCAACCGAAGAAGCAAAAAAATTTTAAGATAAAAGATAGCATTTTGTCATTAGTGTTCCTTAAAACTTTACAATATTCTCATTGATTCCATTTTTTCCCATTTGAATCGCAAAATGTAGATCACCATTATCACCTATAAGAAAAATGGATGAATCACAAACTATGAGCTTCTTATGGTTTGAACTGATGGGTCCGCGGTGTAATCAAATTTTAGGAAACTCTTTTCTACATAGTACCCTGAGATGAGTATCCACCACCATTGTTATTATCTGATTGAGTTAATATCTTTGCAAATGATGTTAGGTTTTCTTGATTTTAATTAGTTTAATCAAACTCCAGAATCCATTAAATTCGTTAAGGTTTCTCCCTAGGACAAGTACAATTTTTGCATAAACCTCCTATATGTTGAGAACTACCATGAACATTACTTTGGAAACATGACACAAAATGTAAGGTGAGATTCAAGAGAAATCCCTAAAATTTATGTTTCCTAATGTAACATGCTTTACATGACCTTAAAGGAACTCAAAAACCTTTGAGTTTAATAGTAGAAACTATACCACACTAGAAACACATCCATGATATGGTATAATTGGTCAACTATGCCCATCTTTTATCGAAAGTTCTGTTTTTTGGAATTTGATCAAACAGAGATGGAGACACAAATTTGCATTCCAATCCATGTCTATTTTAATCAAAATTAGTTCACCATCACAAAACCATTTTCTCTCATCAAGTGGTTTTGTATGTTGAGGCTTCATCATTGCCATAGTAACAGATGGCGGAGATAGAGTCTAGGAGAAGTAGAGGTGTACATACGATTATGGTGATGATGGTTGTTGTTGTGTTTGATGGTGGTAGAGTAGGTCATATCAATAGTAATGGATGGAGGCTAAGGTAGTATGGTTGATAGTGAGCAATCACAGAGGAAACGTCAGGTGTTGTGTTGAATAAGATGGAGTTTTAATTAACCAAGGTTTTATTTAATATTCATAGTTTAGTGCTTCAAGACTAAAGCTTTTATGCATGACTTTTTATTTATAATTGTATTTATTTTGTTTAAAGGCAAATGAACAAGATCAAAGATAAAAATGGAATTTTTTTTCATTTCCTGTTAAAATTTGGGGTCATAAGAATATCAATATACTTGGATATTTCTTGGATCATGATTGCAATCATTTTTTTAAAATGTATGATTTTAACCTTATAGCATGGGGTATCACGAAATCAGATTTAGGATAATGCAAAAAAAATCCATTTAAAATTTAGGCCATTTCTATATTAGAAACACATAATATACCTTGTTGTTTTTGTGTTCTAGAAAGATAGAATGAATCAATATACAATTTTCGTGTATGAAAGTTCCAACCCCTTTTCTAGAACCAGAGAACGATTCTTATACTAGAGGGGAAAGTAGTTAAAGGGAACTTGCATCCTTTTGGTGCCAAAAATCATTGGTTATTAAGACATAACCAACTCATGATATCATGATATCACTACAGGTTTTGGCGAGAAAATGTATGGCAGGAGTCATACTCGACATAGAAATATGTTTAGCGGAAGGTCCTCCAGGGGTTCTGCCCCTAGGCCCCATCAAGGGGCTGGAACCCCTTGTAACCCTGCATGTAGGTGAGCTCCCCCTTGACCCCCATATTCCTGAGTTCATAATTATCACGACCGTGCACCCTGTGCATCCAAGCTCAGTTAGTAAAGGAAGCTTGACATATCTCATTATTAACAATAATTACCCCAAAATATATTAATAATACTAAAATCACCAACATTCCTCCCTTATTTTAGTGTAATCATTAATTAAATAAAAGGAAACACAAAATCAAAGTTATACATAAATGAAAATATCTTAAAGATTAAATTTTCACATTAGTATAATATACTGTCAAATACTCAAGACTCAGGATGTCCTAAGGATTGAACCCATCAACTCATTTGAGTAACTAAAGTTACTATACACATAAGTCAAACATAATATCTAATGTTTCATATTTGACACTATTACAACCATGTTTCATATCCATTTGTGAGTGCATAAAAGTCTAGTCGAAGTTTTCTGAAGCGGCATCACTTCACACTCACATAAGTAGTCCTTTTATATCATGCACATGTTAATGCACTTTTTCAAAAGAACTATTAATAACTCAATCAACCTAGTTTAACAATACAGGATATAAGAACATACCATGGGATGTAGTAAAACAAATGTGCTTCAATCTCCATAAGCAAGCTTTCCACATTGAATTCAACTTCTAACCTTGTATTAAAATGGAATTGGTATCTCACCCATAGAGATATCAAGTGAGCCTTAATCCCATCCCTATAACCGACTTGTTTATCAATTCTTTAGCTAATGCCTTCATTATGTGATCAACTAAGTTTCGTGAGATCTAACTAACTCAACAGAAATGATACCATGAGTAATAAGCTCATGTACCATGTTGTGCCTAACACCCAAATTTCGCGACTTTCCATTATACACTTGACTATATGCTTTTTCCAAGGTATTAGTACTATCACAATGTATATAGATAGGTGATATAGGCTTTGGCCACAAACGAATTTCATAGATCAAATT